TGAGGAGCGTCCCGAGTGGGTTAATTCTAGGTGGAGGGTTATTCTACGAGCCGTACTGCAGCGGGGCGGGGGGAGGACGGGGGGGCTTCCTTGCGGGTAAGAGCTGGTCCGGGCAAATTGTCCGCGGTCCTGGCCAGGTGCTCAGTAGTCTGCTGTGTACTCCGTGCCATGCAGCCCCCGGCACAGCAGGGTGAACTCCTTCACCATCTCCTTCACTCGCCGCTTGTTCACACGCTCTCTGCTAAGACAGAGGGAGGGGACAAACATGAAGCGGGAGGCACACAGCAGGCCGTGCGGGAGGGTCGTCCCCACGGCACGTGGCGCACAGCCACCCCAGGGAGGGGTGCACAAACCTGAGGATCTGCTGGCTGAAGGTCTCCTTCTGCTCGGGGCTGACGCGGGCCGAGGGGAAGCCGTCCTGCTGCATGGCCTCCTTGATCCAGACACTCAGATAGCTGAAGCAGTGCTTGTTCAAGGCGAAGAGGATTTCTGCGAAGTGATCCATGAGGCTGCGGGAGGCTTGGCCACCGACACCCTGCCACAGAGCAGACAGACCCTGCTGAGCCCCTGGCATCATCCTGCCCGCACCCCCCCCATGCTGCCGGGCCCTCTGGCCCCAGCTTGGCAGGAGCGCCCACCTGAGTGCCGCCCCGGAATAGAGCCCAAAAAGCGGCACGGGGAGCCCACGGTCCCGGCATCTCTCACCTCCAGCACTGCCTGCAGCAGCACTTTGCCGTTCTCATGCACGACCTGTCCCACCGGGGCGATCTCTCCGCAGCGGGGCAGCAGCTCCGTCTGCAACACAGAGCCCAGCTCGCTCAGTGCCGGAGCAAGCTCCACGTTGCAGCGCCCTTGCCCGACCCACAGCCCCACTCCTGCCCTCCCATCCCTCGGGGAGCTGCAACCCATCCCCTTGGAGCTGTACGATGCCACAATACTCACAAAAAAGCCACAGGATGCTTTGACCGTTGGGGCCTCAGGGAACTTGAGCGAAAGGACACCTACGGGCAGAAAGTGCTCAGGTTAGCAGCCAGAAACCCTGCGCACGATCCCAAATCAGCCCTGCGGTCCCCAGCCCCACAGGAGGAGCAGGCTGGCTTCTCCACAGAGCGATCTGGAGCACGTGCCCGTGCCCGTGGTACTCACCACACTGAAACACTGCTTTGACATCCAGGTTGCTACACAGGAAGAGGTCCGGCTTCCTTTTCAGAGCCTGCAAGGCACACAGACAGGCAGCATAAACCCAGCGCTGCAGAGGCAGCCAGGAAGCCTCCGAGGAACCCGGTGCCCCAGACAGCCTCTGCCTGGATGCACACTTACCTGGGCACACCCACGGTAAACGGCAGAGTCACACAGTACGGCAGGAAACCATCACTTTCCCCCCGCCAAGGAAACGTCAATCAAACCACCAGGCAGTTTGTTACACTTCAGGGACCGCCAACCCCAGGACCTGAAGGTAGATGCCATGGCGGTGTACGCACAAACACTTCAGACACAGACAGGACAGAGGGCTCCTGTCCCACAAGAGCAGGCCAGGCAGCAACAGCGCTCCCGGGACAAGGGCAGCCATGCGGAGCCCAGCAGAGACTCTATGCTTTGCTCCTCTCCTCTTGAAGACGCTGGTGTCCCTGGGGTCACAGCAACTGGCTCGAGCAGTAACCCCAGACTGGACCAGCAGCTCGCTCTGCTTGGGCTCCAGGGCACAGATGCCAACAAGATGCCAACACTGCTTGCCAGTTCCTGAGCAGCAAGTCTGAGATCAGAAAAGCTTTGGGTTTTTTTCTGCCACTTGGCAATCCCACCAGCCACTGTGGGGGTCAGGCACTGCTGCTGGAGACACCCTGAGCTGTGGCACCCCATGCAATGGCTTGGTCCCCCCCGTGCTGGCACTGGGCAGTTACTGAATGAAAATGTTTCAGTCTGCGCTTGCCGTTCCATGGGAGGGGTTTCTGCCCTGCCACGTAAGGCGGCGACATCCGTGCCCTGACCACCATGCCACCGTGCCCACCGCTGCGGGCCAGCACTGGGGATGGCAGCCATGCCTCCTGCCCTGCCATCACTGCAACACCTGGAACAGCAGCCACAGCACTGGAGTGGCCCCACTCTGTGCCTGGAGCTCGGAGAGCAGGATACCCGGGGCAGGCAGCCCTCGGGCTGAGCTGTGTGCAGGGCCACTGCCTCCCTCCGAGCCTGCTCCCAGGGATGAAAGCAGGGACAGCTTTCAGCCAGCAGCGCCCAGGATGCATGGCCGTCTGCCCACAGCCATGGTCTCTACTCGGAGCAAAACGGACTTATTTCCCACCCCTTCTTCTCCAGGGAAAGCCCACAGCCATCTGCCTGGCGCAGACAACATATGCTGGAGACTGAGAAGCCGAATAGCAGGTTTCAGGGTTACCCCGTCTCCTTTCTGACTCTGTATCACATGCTGCAAGACAGGACTCGGGTTTGGTCACCGAAGGCATAGCTGTACCAGGCGGAGGGGGGCACAATTGCAGGGACCTGCTTCCCTGCTAGATACAAGTGGAGACCTTCATGGGGGCGATCAGGGGCCACATTATACCTGTGTGTATATACAAACTGTGTGCACCACCCCTCCTGACACACTAGCACCAATATCGGAAGGCTAGCTAGCGGATGGGCAATGGTTTAGAAACACATCCACTCATCACGGCTGCTGCCGTCTAGTCAGCTCCACACCGGACAATGCTTGCAAGACACGTTGCAGTTTTCACCACGGAGGACTACCCCCGCTGCCCCCAGCCCTGGCCTGGGCTCCAGAGCAGGGACCACAAGCCTATCCCCCAGCAGCACGCTACTCGAGGGCAGCTGGCTCCCATGATGCCACCCAAGCTGCAGGTTCCTCTACCCTGCCCGTCCAAGGGGCTGGTTTTAACCCGTGTCCTGCACACTGCAAGACTGTTCAGCTGGCACAAGGGTCCTCCAATGTGCTCGGGTTGCCACCTACCTGCACGATGCTTCTCCCAGCCAAACCAGACCCATGGCAGCCCACAGGCTCTCCTGCAGGCTCGCTGCAGCACCTGCTCCTCACTCCGTCAGTGCCATGGGGGAAAGCATGCCCTGGCATTGGGAAGGCTCCATCCTGTAGGACACCTCCACCAAGGGAGCAGAGAGTGCAAGCTCAACCTGGGCACACGTGCACACGTCTAATGTAGACAGAGATGCTTTTTACCCCCATGAGATGGGGCCCTGTGGAGCTTCTCCCATTAGCAAGCGGCACCAGGTAGGTCCAGCTGCTCTTTCCCAGCACCAGGAATCCTGCTTCAGCTCTGGGGCCTCTTACTGCCAGCCTGTCCTCCCTGTCTCCTGCCAGAGCAGCTCTGCTCACATGTTCTGGGGTGGGGACAGGTCTTTAAATGCTTTCAAATGTCCTCCCACATCCTCTGCTACAGCAGCCACTGCAGAGGTAGGCACTGGCTCTCTGGCGAGGGCTGTCCTGCAGGCTGGCACAGAAAGGATGTCAGGTTCTTCTCCATAGCAGCTGGGAGAACCCCAGACAGGTCTTCAGAGCAGGTTCCTCTTCTGTGCCTGGCTCTTCAGAGGGAGGCAGGCATGGAGGGGACACCGAACCCCACTCCTCCAGTAGACAGGGGACAGCGGGGGGCTGCACGGCCAGTTTCTGCAGCTCTCCAGAGCGCACAGATCAAGCCCTTGTGTCCGGCACCATCACCTCTTCCCAGACCACGCACCTGGCAGAGCAGAGCCTCCAGCTTTGGAAATGGCACGTGAGCTTGGCCAGGCACCACGGCCAGGGAGGAGCAGTCAGCCCCTGCCTGCCAGGGAGAGGGGATGCTGAGCCCATGTCCTCCACGGGGCTCTGTGACTCCGTCTGCAGCAGGCGTGGTGGAGAGCTCAAGGACTGCTGTGTGCAGCCTGGACCAGCCCTAGAAGGGAGAGAGGTGGGGGATGGCGGTGGCTGGGCCATCACAGAAGGTCAGTCCTGCATCTTCTGCCTGGCAAGGCCCTGCTTGCCCAGTCTGCCCCTGGGCTCCTGGTCAGGGGAGGTCACCGCAGCACTCCCGAGGTCCGTGCGGGCATGGAGCCCTGCCAGGGTGGGTGGATGTGCTTGCAGCCACTGGTGGGGAGGCAGGCTGGAGAGCCCCAAAATCCTACCCGCAACCAGGAGCACGCACACTAGTGATACCTGCTGGCCAGGGAGCGGGTGAGAGCTCCCAAACACCAGAACCTCCTGCCTGGGTTTGCAGATGCAGACCCAGGTGCAAGCCCCAGCTGCCGCTGCTGTGCAGTCCTGGGCACGGGCGCTCCGGCTGCGTGGGTGGCACTGAGCCCCGCAGCCCTCCAGGCGGGATGCTCACCTCAGGCACAGCAGCAGCGATGCTCTGCACCGTTCCCAGCACACAGTGGAGGCAGGAGGGGAGCAGCTGAGGACAGATCTCACTGCAAAGGGTGCCAGCACCGCTCCGTGCAGCCTTGCGGCAGACTGGTTATTTTATACTTAGCTTTGAGTAGTAACAATAACTCCAGGGTCTCCGGCATCTGTAAGACATTTGGTTTAAGCCAGTGTGCTCTCGCGATCAGCCAGCCATCGTCAAGAGTGAATTGCCAATTAACATGGCGGCAAAACAATCAGCTGCACAAACCGGGCAGTCCCACGGGCTGCAACCAAGCCCAAATAAATATACTGTAAAGTCAACTGAAATCCTGTCACACAGAGAGATGGCTTCCTGTGAGCTGGTGACAGAGGGCTGATGTGCAGGTATCAGGAGGTAGGAGCTTCTTCTGAGTTATCAGAAGGTAGGAGAGTACTTGCTGGCAGAGGGAGAGGACAAAAACACTGCCTGCAAGGAGAAACCAGACAAATTTGAAACAGGGAAGATGATATTTCCACCAAGGTGATCAACCACAGGAGCAGGTCAGGGAAGTGGGAAAGTCTCCACCTTGACACACTCTTGGGTCCAATCTCACTGCTGCTCTGGAAGATGCATTACTTTGCCAAGGGCTCCGCAGGCAGAGCAGGCTGGGATGAAAACACAGCCCCCATCACATGAAAATTGGATCTGAAGAGATCTGCAGTTCTCTCCGACTTTAATCCTTGGATCTACAAATGCTCAACAGCATCACCACAGAGCATGGTCCTCTGGAAGAGGACAGGCTGGACCCACCTCTTGCCATCAAACAGCTCTTGAAGTCCTGAGAGCAAGGAGCCAAGCAGGGATAGCAAGGCCATTTCTTGATGGGTTTCAAAGTACCCTGCCAGATCATCAGTCTACGAAGAGGGGCAGGCCAAGGAAAAGGAGGAAACCTTGAAACAAGTCCTACACGTAAAGAGAGAGGACAGGGATAGGATCCTTTGGTCGCCATGGGGTTGCTGCAATAAAAAGCCCAGGAAAACATCAGGTCTTGAGTGGCTGTGGACGGCGGTGGCTGGCAGAGCATCAGGCACCTTGCAGTGATCCATGATGAAGCAGCCATGGAGGCAGGAGCCTCTGGGCTGCTCCTGTAACAGGACCTCCAAAGGACATGGGCTGTCCAGAGACCGGCATGCCAGGGACCAGGCTGGCTTCTAGCACGCTGCCCCAACACTGCCTGCAGATCCTGCCCCTGAGGGCAGCATGTAAAACCTTCCCAGCAGCCAGGATGGGTGGTGTTTGCTCTGACAACACACCCCAAGGAAGTGCAGCACGGTTGCACTTTTCTCTCCAAGAGAGCACAAATGTGCCGTGTCCAGACACAGAGAGGGACCCCAAGCCAGAGGGAAACTCAGCACTTTCCAAAGAAACAAGAAATAGCCTTGAACGAGGATCATCTCTACCTGCCCTCCAGGAGCAACAGGCTTGTTGAGTCCTTCCAAGCCCTCTAAGCGGCAGCAGCCCCCTGAGTGACCTTCCAGTGCTTCCCCACGCTGTTAAAAAGATCTCCTACTGCCTAACCTGGATCCTTTTCCATGATTTCCTCCCGTGACTGTCCCACTCGAGGAGAACAGAAAAGGGGTTTTTACCTATGACTGGAACATTACCGTTTACACACCCCAAGACTCATGCAGCTCCTCAAGCTCCCATCAGCCTTTCCTCCTCACCATGTGTACAAGGTGGTCATCTTCCTAGATGCTTTTCTCTGTGCTCTCTGGTCTGTATCTACAGAAATGTTGTGCCCCAAACTGGGCACAGTGCTCAAGTTGAGTTCCCGCCAGCACTGAACGGCCAGGGGGGAACACCTCCATGAAATTCACGCACAGACCCCATTCACCAATTCTCCCATCACATTCAAAACCCTTGTTAAAAGGTCACAGCTTCCAAAACCGGCATCGGCAAAAGCCGGGAACGCTTTCCGATAACATCAGTTACATTATGTCTTTCAAGAGGAAAAGCAAGGAAGAAAACACTGTGATACAGCTTGCGAGATGCGATGGGTCTCAGCGGGATCTGGGTGTCAAGGTGAGACCCGTGAGGAGCAGACCCTGCCCGGGGGGGTGAGGTGCAGCCCCCTCACCTGCTCCATCCCACAAGACCCACGCGAGGGCGGAGCTGCCGGCAAGGGCAGGACGGCCACAGCTCTGGCAGCTGCCTGGGCAGGTGTCCCTGCACACCCACCGGGCCAGCACATGTGGTCAGAGGTCTCGTCATTACAGAAATGAAGCACAAAGTGACTTTGCTGGCCCCTCCTTGCCACCGACCCACCCCCTGGGTAGGTGCCAGGGGATGTATCTCCAACGGAGGCACTGAGTGCATCGAGGACGTCGGGGCTTCTCCCTCAACGGCCACGGTGGGCTGAGGAGCGTGCCGGGCTCCCGCTGCTCCCAACAGGTGTATATACACACAGAGCACGGTGCCGCCCCTGCCTGCCCACTGCCAGTGGGGACCCGAGTGCCAGCCCCGCGAGCCAGCCTGCGGCCCGCGCCACACCGTCGCAAACCGTCCCTGCGTGCCACCGAGCCAGCGGCACGGGAGCACTCCCAGGCTGCAGGCGCAGGAGCTGCCACCACCCCAAGAGGCTGCGGCGGCGGCAGGCGG